GTGGTTTTGAGTTTTACTAGTTAACTACTTATACTACTACTTACTAGTTAACTATTTATTTCAAAATATATCGTACTACCTAACTAGGATATGTTGGATCTAACTAACAAGTAGGGCTGTGGAATTTAACGCAATAATAACGAATTAATGCAAATTCCCCTTAACGCCACTAATTTATTTGACGCGCTATTAATGCGCGCACGTTCTATGTATGACCTTCGGCCCGCCCCGTAGTATGGGAAATCAGGAATTGATGCAGTAGTAACATAGTGGCTGACAAGCAGAAATGAATAAAGAGGGTGTTTTAAATGGCAAGTTCAGCTTCAAAGCCCTGCCAGATGGTTCTCTCAACAAGACCAAAGTTATCTGCATTTACTGTCGATGTGAATTAAGTTACCACCGGAGCACGTCGAGTCTCAAATACCACTTGCTGGCCAAGCATACCACTGATGCAGAGAGACCTCCCCCCCCTCGCCCCAAGGCTGGATAGTATGCAACGGAGACGCTTGGACAACTCTACAAACAACAAACTTTCAATAGCGATAGCTAAATGGGTGGCTACAGCTTGTAGGCCAATTAACATTGTGGAAGACGAGGGTCTGCTTGAAATAATTTGCATTGCATCCAACGACTGCACATATGAATTGCCTTCAAGAGCCACCACTGTAACCAAGATAGGCAACTTGTATTAAGACGAGAAAGCTAAAGTGGAGGAGGCGTAGGGACAAACAAACACGATTGCGCTCACCGGAGACTACTGGACTTCCCTCAGTAATCACAGTTACCTCGGGGTCACAGCACCCACATTATTTTGACCCACAGTGGGAACTCCGGTCGCATGCTTTGACTGTTATGAAGACAGAGGAGAGGCCCTTTGCCGACGTGGTTGCGGAGCACTTTATGCAAGTAGCCACACAGTGGAACATTGGACATAAAGTTAGCACACTGACCACTGATAGTGCACGCAACATGATTGCAGTGGCCAGGCAGCTCCCGTTCGAGCATATGCCCTGCGTCGCACATAGCCTCCACCGAGCCATCACAGTTTCTCTACAGAACAGTCCATTTGACAGCGCATTGGCAAAATGCAGAAAAGTTGTGGGACATTTCAAGCATAGCCCAGCATAGCCCAGCAAACACAGCGGAGCTTGAACAGCAGCAAATTGCACATCATCACAAGAAAGAGTCACTCACACAGGACGTGGAACATGGAACAGTACCCTGGAGATGATCAAGCGTGTTCAGAGAAATAAGGAACCACTGAGGGATGCACTGGCCCTACATGCAACCAACGTCACCATGCCAATAACAGCTGAGCTGGAGAAACTGAAGAAGTTGGAGACAGTGCTGGACCACTGCAGGTAATTTATTGATTATATTGTTTATTGTGTGTTTGTTTCTAAATCAAAGTGGGTCTGTGTCAGAAGTGGAAAGAGAGGGATTGTGTGAGTGTGTGTGTGTGTGTGTGTGTGTGTGTGTGTGTGTGTGTGTGTGTGTGTGTGTGTTAGCCTGGATGTAGCAGAGAGAGAGTGAACTCACTTGCCCTTGGGTGAGTTAATGTAACTAATTTAAAGTGCTTTTCTCTATTATTGCAGGTACATAGCTGAACTTCTGGGAGTAACTAACATCACATGGCTGAGGGTTGCGACGGCACTGGATCCTAGGTTTATGGACCTCAAGTGTCTGGGCAGAGCTGACAGGCCTGAGGTGTGGCGTCGCATCAGTGCCTTGCTCAGGGAGAGGGAGAGGCCTGCACCACCGGAACAACCAGGGATGTCTGAGCCAACTAAGAAGAGAGCAGCTCTCATGCTTGCCCCAGAGTCTTCGTCTGATGAAGAGGAGGACTGTATTGAGAAATGTGTGGAGCGCTACAGGGTAGAGCCCACTATTGGCATGGAGGACTGTCCCCAGTAGTGGTGGTCCAAACATGAAGGGGCACACAGCGAGATGGCCTGCCTTGCACGCATGTACTTGGCAACACCTGCCACATCCGTACCGTGTGAAAGGTTATTTTCACTGTCTGGGCATGTTGTTCAGAAGAAGCGAGCTGCCCTGTCATCCGAAAATGTAAACAAGCTTGTCTGTTTGAGCAACTGGCTCAGTGCAAAGAAAAAGAAGTAATGGGGACAACCCATGTACTGTATGTTGTAGTTCCTTTCTTTTATCTTGTTTTGCATTTGTAGTGTTTCTATGTTCCTTTTGTCAGGAAAAAAAATATAAGGAAGGAGACAGGGTTGCTTAACCTCGGCTGAATACAAGAAGAATACAGAAGAGCAAAGAGGTAGAAGTATAGCTTAACTGTTTAATCCAAAGAAATTTAAGTATAAGCTATAGCCTAAATGCACTATATATAGGCTGAGTCTTCATTTTGTATTACACTCCCTACTGTAACATGCACACTTTATTTGTTTGTTTTAATCTATTTTTGATCTCACTTCGTAGAAGGAGATGTTTTCTGAGCCTTTATTTCCCCCCATGTGAGGTTAGACACAATTACATTGTGTGAGATAATAAGTGCGAAGGGTCCAGGGAATGATCTTTGAGTAATGGAAAATTTAACTGACCAAAGTTCTTGTTGTACAATGTGTGTCTGTTTGTGATGCATGAGGTCAATCGCTTTGTGTTGTGCTGCTTAAAAAACAGGATGTTTAGTTAACCTTGTGTTAAGTTGGACACTACATTGTGTTAGTATTACTAAGTAATGTTACATTCAGGTGAAAATGCCAGCATATTTTTTGAGCATGCAGTACCTTTATGGTTATTGTGGACAGTATTTGTCATTGTTTTGGATTGTTGCAAGGAAAATAAACACATTTGTCCACTCCTATGTTGATAATAGTATTAAAAACATGAAAAATATCCCTTTAAGGTACGTTTAGAACAGATAAAAAAATGTGCGATTAATTTTTGATTAATCACGAGTTAACTAAAGACAATCGTGCGATTAATCGCGATTAAATATTTTAATCGATTGACAGCCCTACTAACAAGTAAAGTTTTTTGTGAACTATTAGTTAACTAGTGCTACCAAAGACAGAACAAGTGCTGTAAACTGAAGCTTAATATCAAGGATATCGAATAAATGCTCAAACAGCTTTCCATACAGGTAAGATTCTTCATGAATTTGACAAATTGACCGTGGGTCGGCCCTAAACACTCACATACTGAATGGGACCAACAACCCTTAAACCCTTAAAGTCTGAGTCTGTGAGCGTGTGTGTTGTTATTCTTTTTCTTTTTTTTCTTTTTTTTTGCAGCTAAAAAAGCATTTGAAATACAGACATAGTCTTACCACCCATGTTTTTTTCTGCTTATGGAGTGCTGCTCTACTTCATTTTCTGCACTTTCTTCTTTCTACTTACACTCAAACATACAAACTCACTCAGCACATATGAACACACACATACACTTACTCAGGCCTTCAGCTACTGTACCGAGGTGGGTTCAACTCTGGGTCTGCTTTCCAGTTTCTTGAGATGCGTAAAGACACCTGTCAGTATGTGTAACAAGTTGTACTCTCAATACACTCAATTCTTTGACATTAATCTAGCGTCTGCATGATACATTTCTCTAACTATGCATTCAGGTCAAATTACACTAATTCCAGTACATATGTCTCGGATATTTATATTAAACAGGTCCAAAATCATACTTCATATTCAGGACTCTTGCTCAAGTCATTTTGTTTTCCTGTTTGCCAATCAGAGACGCAGCAAAGCCTTAATCCATGGGCAGAGCCCCTTCAGGCAGGGAGTGTGTGTGTGTGTTTGTCTGTGTGTGTGTGTGTGTGGAATGAAGAGTGAAAGTGAAGGAACGATGTGAGAGATGTTGTAAAATTAGCCACGCTGTCAGAGCAGTTTGCACTTGGCGTTACAGGAATTGTCATCAGTGAAGCAGAATCAAGGAAGCCCCGTTTACTCTCATGTTTAGTCTCTCTCTCTCTCTCTCCCTCTCTCTCTCTCTCACCCTTCTCTCTGCCTCGGCAAACTCATTAAATGACAAACTGCACCAGTTCTCTCAAGAGACCTAAAAACAGCATTCTGATTGTCAAGCAACATCAGACAGAGTCAGAGTCACCTGTGTGTATGTGTTTGTTTGTGTGTGTGTCCGTGTGTGAATGTATGTGTTTTGTGAGCACGCTTGAATGAAGCCTACACTTGTTCTCTAGCTGTCACAGATTGCATAATACAAGTCTGGACAAAGTAAGTCATGTAATAAATTGCTGCTTTTGAGCCATACCTCAATTTGGAGAGGCTTTCTGTCAATACACAAACACACTTTAATTTGAAGAAGTAGCTATAAGGGAATATCCATGTTTTTTTTCTTCATTTTCTTGGAGGGAATCAGACATGGGGATTGAAATCACTCACATGTCTACACTAGATATGGATCAAATATCAGGAAAGTGAATTTATCTTTAAAAAAGGACCTAATTGGAAGTCACCTGTACTGTTAAAAAATGTAGAAAAGTGTCCAGTTAGAATTTCTGAATAAATATCAGGAGAGGAAGAAGGGAAAGGATAATTATTACAGACTCGGGGCATTTCTGAAAGTGCTAAACAGAGGAAAATATATTCAAGTTCACCCCATGACAGACAGATTGTAAAAACAAATGCAGGGAAACACTGCCTCAATGAAAGATAAATATGATTATAATTAAAAACAAAACAAAAAACGAGACACCATTAGATTGACTAGTACAGCCAACTCAAAAAAACCTCTTCAAATTAGAAAATACATTTTGTCAACTTGCTATAACCAATTAAAGTAAACCCAATGAGGGTGCACTTGAAAAACAGGAGACAAAACCCCACACTGGTCACATAAGACAAGTTCTGTCCAATAACTAAAATGAAGGCGTCACTCCTCTTTGAAGAAGCCAATCCCCGTCTGTCTCCATGGCATATTGGGGGCTATTCCTCAACAGAAAGAAGAAAAAAAAAACGAAGAAGACTCGGGTTTTTCCGGTCGGAGTCGGCATCAGAGCCGAGTGCCCTGACTGCTCGGCGCGACGGACGCATCAATCTGGTTTTGGCTTGCGGTGTGAGATTGTTTACATCCAATCAAAGAAAAAGAAAGAAAGTAACCTGCTGTAGAAATGGACACCGCTGATCAGGTGAGTGGACCAGCGAATATTTAGACCATTATGACTCGCAAATGTGCGTGTTTACCTATTAAATTATCCAACGTGTAGTTAATTGGATACAGACATCACAATGCTTTGATGTTCCCTCTGTGTCATATGCAGCTGGCATCTGTGGGGACATTTCAAGTGCTCAAATTACCTCTGGGATTTATCCGTGTCTTGGAATGGGTGAGTTGAAACTTTATTTCGTGTGCGTGCAAGAACTTAATTATTTGTGTCAATACGTTAATGAATATTTGCCCATATGATGTGATAAGTGTCTGTTGCAATCATTAGGTTTTGACTGTATACATTCATGCATCTCTCTGGCGCAACTTGACCACATCTGTTGGGTTCTTAGTGTGTGCTACTTACTGCCACACGGTGAGGGACGTTAACTGCAATCATTCGGGCTTTGATCCGTTTCACCGTGACTAAACGACTCAAGTTTATGTCAGGATTCATAGCTCCGTGAGAACCATAAGGGACGCTGCTGTGTAGCTTTTTCAATTATGCGTAATATGATGCGCCGTGCCATCATCCATGTGCGTTTTGTGCCAGTCCACTATAAATTCCCTCTTGTTTTACTTACAAGTGAAATGATATAACATAGACCATCAATAAGAGCGGGGTGTCCTCTGACTGAATCAAAGCTTTACTACCTCTCCATGTCTGTGTGCCGTTTGTAGCCTAGACTATAGTCTGTCGTGTTTATTGTACAGTGCAGAGAAGCCTAAAGGCAGAGGGAGATAAGTGATTTTCTTTGATGTGAGTTTAGAGAAATTACTGTAGCCATAAGGGTACAGATAGGATGTGTGTGTGTGTGTGTGTGTGTGTGTGTGTGTGTGTGTGTATGTGTGTGTGTGTGTGTGTGTGTGTGTGTGTGTGGTGTGTGGTGCCTGTAGTGTGTTTAGTGCGTGCGTGTGTCTGTCTTTCCCACTTTTTTATAAATTCCATCAAATGTGCAGAGAATCCTCCTGCAGCAGAGCACTCACTGCTCCATAAAAACATGTTTAAAAAAACCAGCAACAGCTATATGTCCTTTTTGACAATCAACTTTGAGACACATGACCTTTTAGCTGAGAAAAGACATATGTCTATCAGTAAGGTGAGTTCCAGTTAGCGTTCCTTTCGGCTGTTTGTGTGTGTGTGTGTATGCGCGTGTGTGTGTGTGTGACCAGATTTACTGTGATATTTGGGGGCCAGAGAACAAGCAGTTGATCCAAAGCACCATCTGTCTGATAAAGATAACACTCCCTACAAAGCTTCTTTTATGTGTCTTATTTTTGCTGTGTGTGTGTGTGTGTGTGTGTGTGTGTGTGTGTGTGCGTGTGCGTGTGTGTGTGTAAGGTGGAGGGCAGCATGTATGAATATGTTACCTAGCACGACTGCACTCTGTCCTGTGCTGTATTGGTCCAAGACTCAACTGGAAAGTGTTCACTCAGATGTAGTCCGATACATTCCCATGCAAATGACTGTTAACGTTATATTATTACCATGTACAGACACACACACACACACACACACACACACATCTTCATAGCATTATTATAAAAGTGACCTTTTCCCTGCAGTCTTTTTTCCCCTCACCAACTTCTCCGTAGCCAGTGGACCCATAAAAGTGCAAACAATTCAATTAACGATTAATTATTCTGCAGCAGCCCAGTTATGTAGTTGTACTGGTCCTCATGGCTAAAAGCCTTTTTCTACTATTCATGTAAGACAGGTCAAGCGCAAAAATAAAATAAAAGTGGATAAATCCTGAAGCAGTGGTTGACACAATGAATATTTTTAAGAGGCATAAATATACAACAATTATTTAATAAAGGGTAAACAAGAACAAGATTTATCCAAAATTCTAATCTTTGGGAGATCTACATGTTGGTATAACTACATTTATAATGCATAGATGCATCTACTGTAAGCACATAAAATACATTCTCATTTGCCTTCTATAAAGGTCCAGATGAGAAACCCTCTACGTTTAGCAAATGTTCAAACTAACAATGGACTCTCTTTCCTCCTATATAACATAATCAACATAATCAACATAATCAACATAACAGAACCAGCGAAGCCGTCTGTTTATTACATTCATACATCTTACTTGCCAAAGCCTGTTGCATACATTTTCCACAATGCAAGTTGAGGACGTTCATCTATCATTTGGAGATAGATGAATGATGCTCGTAGAAGTCTATGGTAGCTGAATGAAGCAGAGATGAGAAGCAAGCTTCAGTTTATCTTTCAAGCTAAACTCTTTCTGACTCTACAGACCCGCATTTTTATTTGACCTCAGCGCACAAGTGTTGTCGGTTCCGAGATTCACAACTCTCCCTCTGGAGACACAAAATATTTATGTAACTTTCTATCAGAAACAGTAGTACAACATTTCGACTATGAAAGAAATGCTCTTTTGCAATAATATAAACCGATTTTGTTTCAATGACAGAATTCTTTTTGAACACCTAGTGCCTGTGTTTGAACATTTTGGCTTCCCACAAAATCATCACATGACAACATTATTATACAGTAGAATTGGGGAAAGAATGTGTTCATGTCAGTTAAATTTCAACGATAGTATGATCAGGTTAGGCAACTAAATACTTGGTTTAGGTACATGAATGGTGGTAAGTTTAAAACTAAGTCCATCTTATATTGCAGGCCTGTGCCATGAATGAACTCCCATCTTCCAGCTTGTTTACAAAAATGTTACACATAGTTTTATAAAGGACTTACAGCATCCTGCATTGGCCCAAACTTTGACATTTGATAAAAATGTCAGATGCAGAATCAACCTTAATCAAACTCAGCTGAAGAAAGACTTACATGCAAATGTCTTGAGTCTTTTCTTCTGCTTAGCACGATCTTTGATCAAACGTCTGCAGCAAGTATTTTCCCAATTCATGACTCGTAATTGAACTACAAGTCTGTCACAGGTTTATTACACACCCTAAGGCATAAAGACTGAAATTAAAGCAGCGACTGGCATTTATGTAGCCCATGATAATGAATCCTTGACTACATGGCTGACTGGTCATGTGGACAAGTGAGGTTATTAAAAGGTCATGTTAACTTTGTTCAAGATGGCTGCAGCAGACTGGGAGGTTTCCTGTATCTTCACTCAGTACTGGTTGTGCACAGAGAGAAGGCAGTTTCATAATCACACACGTCTGCAGGAGATTCTAGAGGACGGTTGTATAGCTGTGTGCGTGCGTGCGTGCGTGCGTGCGTGCGTGCGTGCGTGCGTGCGTGCGTGCGTGCGTGCGTGCGTGCGTGCGTGCGTGCGTGCGTGCGCTTGGTTTGGCACACTGTCAGTGGCTGGCATATTCCGCTCCAAACAGCTGTAAGGTCCCCTCCTCTCCACCATGGACCAACTCATGCAGAAGCTGTCCTTTGAGATGTGCCCAAAGTCTTCACTGCTTGTGTGTGTGTGTGTGTGTGTGTGTGTGTGTGTGTGTGTGTGTGTGTGTGTGTGTGTGTGTGTGAGAGAGAGAGAGAGAAAGAGAGAGAGAAATAGAAAGAGAAAGAGGAGCAAAATAATACAGTTGATTGAGCACATGATGCAAATCAAATGATATACATGCATTTTTTATGCACTGGTGCATCGTCACTGCAGTGGTTCAACCGGCTAGTTTTACAAATACTGTATCAACTCCAGTGCTTTGTGTACCCAAGCCAAACTCAGGCTATTGAGTCACATTGGATGAGTCCATGATGAGTGTAATTTAAAAGTCATGGTCCTCCTGTAGTCCAAACCCAGGACTGACCCACTCTCCTATGATGTCATCTTCAGCACTTTACTGTACACCAGTCTGGTTTGCTCATTGGTTTAGACTTAGACTTAGACTTTCTTTATTGTCATTCAAACTTGTACTTTACAGTGCAGCTAAGAACGACATTCCGTTGCATTTGGTTTGTAGAGTAAAGTGTATTTTTGACATGTGCAAGTTAAACATGTGCCAAAAAAGTACGAGTATTTGACAAGTTGGTTTCTACGATGCAGTGTTACGGCCACGATATATAAAATTTGTAGATCAAAGTCTTACTACATGAGTCATACTACAAAATCGGAACTTTATGAGAATAGAGTCCTTAATTTACTATAAGAAATTCTTAAATTGATTTCAATTCGACTCTATGCCTAATTCACACACAGCCATCCCACTGTGCAAAAATGATGCAAGGGGAACCACTCGAAGCCATTTCTCTCATTTCTCTGCCACAAAAGAGCACTTTCCTCCAAGTCAGTGTGGTTCTTTCTCGGAAAAGCCCCAGTTTCTTGAAGTATCTTTTCAGGGTCCTGATATTTATGATACTGTGAAGATGATGTGCCAAAATAATGTGTAGTTTGATATCTGCATAAGTAATGCCCCAACACAACTTATCAGATATTATGAGACATTGTTAAAGTGTTGTTTTAAGGCAACTCATTCCACAGAGAGATAATACTCAGTCAGTCTTTGTAACAGACTACACAAGGCAGTATTTCCTTATTTTTGAAACCTATACTATTACTTCACAAGATGCTCCACGTTCCTCATTTCCGTACAGGTGGCTGCTACTGATATAAAATAACAACTTTATTCTAGTAAGTTTACGACTATGCTCTCCTAAATTTACAACTTTATTCTCTTGAATTCATAAATGTATTCTTATAAATTTCCCATTTAGATCACGTAATTATATTACTTTAATCTCAAAGTCTCTGATTTGTTTCCCCCTCTTATGTGGCCCAAATGCTTCTTATTCATACTTTCAGTATGTTTCAGTAATTGCAACACCTTGATTTTAATATGACTAAACTAAAGAATACAATTCACAAAAGGTTGAGAAGAATTCTTAAGGTGATTAGGCTCGCTCTCAGTTGCTCTGCCTGTCCAGTTCAAACACAGCCTGAATATTTTCTTCCATTTTTGCGAGAACCAGTAGGTTTGAAAAAAAGAGGAAAAACAAGAAAACGACCCTCCAATCAAAAACAAGAAGCACAGATTTGTCTGGTTATAAGAGACTGTTGCTAGCTGTTCAGTCTGGTCCGTAGCTAGCTAGTGTAATCTAGTGCTAACTTTATCACTCAGTGAGTAGGTTGTAACCAAGCGAAAACCACTGGTACTTCAAAATTGAAGGACATATGGAAGTGCAAAGAAAAATTGGCTTTTCTGTGGAGTGATTGCAGTGAACAACAGTGG